CCTCTCTTTGGGATAAATAACGCTCAGTGGCGACTCTTCTGTTTGTTTTAGCCAGCTTCCTTTTTTCGCAGTTGTGACAATAGGATATTGTAAAAATTGTGTAATATTATCCAATTTTCCTATCCATGGAACTAGCATAGTCTAAATAGATCTTTGTAATGCTCTCAGACATCAAAGAGAGACTCTCATTCCTCTTTTCTAAAGTTAATAATTTCACTTCTGACTTTGGCTGTCTTGTGAGGCAGAAAGTACAACACAAGGAAAATAACCTTTAGGTTTGGCCATGTAGTTATGGAATTAGCGAACAAAATTGAAGTAATGCTCGAGCTTGATCTCTTAGCGAGAAAGGGAACAATTTGAGTCGGATGGCATTTTGACCAATGCCATTGGTTTTTAGAGTGCCACAAAACTAAAAAAAGATGGACAGGTGAAGAATTTGTATCTTTAGTAGGTAAACCTTAGAATTGGTTTTGTTGAACCATGCCCACCAGCGAGGGCTTAGTCTCAAAGTTATTTGGTGAGATATGAAGATGAACAATACTACTATGTGGTTCTGCATGGGTAAGAACCATGTATTCTTTTAGAGGTTTGGCATCTACGACCGGTTCAGCCATTTCTCTAAGAATTCAACATCTCTCAGGCTAAAAATGCTCGATTTCGTTCACAGGTTCAAAAAGATTTCTTAGAGTTTGGGTTCTTCACATACGAAGGTAGAAAAGAAGTTATATCAATAAAAACATAAAATAAAAGGTGCTTTAGTCTATACGCTGCTAGAATGAAACTTCAATATCAAAAATATCTCTCCGACAATGGTGCAAAAAACTCGATGCAAGCTGCAAATGCACATCAATATAAAGTAGTATTATAGATATCGAATCACAAAGAGATATGTTTGATTACCAATTTTTACTCTAGCAATGTGTAGCTAAGGCGATCGTAATATTGATGATTCAGTTCAAATGAATTAAAATTAACAGAATAAAAAGTAAGACATGAGGTACGTGATCATCTATCCTGACATACCTAATTGACTTTCCAAATTGAATACGAGAAAAACATAGCAAGTTATAAAAAATAGTCAAAACTTTGTACAACACCTACTTTCATATTATGTGTATTCACTCGAATGAATAATTTGTCTGCTTTCACTAGCCTGTATCATTCATCTGAGAACTTGTATTTTAGCACAACTATGCGGATTTCTCAGCCAAGAGCGAGACACCTTATCAGTGGCACCATAACTTGGATGTTTAGCAATCTGCTTTCGGATACAGAGTCATTACCTTTCAAGACATGATCAGTATCTGAGTTGACTTTGCTTTTGCAACCGACTCAAATATATTTAAGTTTTCAGATTCTAAAATAAATTTTTTTCTTATTTTCTCATTTTTTGCAAGGGAATTCATTTGGAGGTTTCCATGAGATAAGTCTCATAACCCCTTGTCTCTAATGGACTACTCACTCATAGTGAGATTGACCGCAATTAAAAAAGTAGAGATATAGTAAGCATATAAAATCAAAGCAATAACAATGGAAAAAGTAAACCTAAATAAAGACAATATTTTGAATTATAAGAAAAAGCTCCCATAATGCTTGAATTTTCTTACAAGGAAGTAGAAATTGCTGCAAGATAACCCATAAGAAAACTTTGAACATAAGCTTAATACAGGAAAATAAACTTAGAGAATGTAAGAGTAAAAAAAAGTGTCCACTAACAAGAATCATAGACTTATTTACAATAAATCATTACACTCAAGGCCTTAAATTCATGTAAATGGAACTTAAGGTTATTAAGTACTCAAAGTGGAACAGTTTGGAGGCTCTTAAGATCACAAAACATCAAGAATTCATAAGTGCCACTGGGTTGAACACAGACAGTTTTAAGAAACATTGTTTTCCTATGTTGTCCTCTGATGAATATAAGGGGGAAGTCTAGGAACAACATGGCATGTGTCAGTTAACACAACCTGCTTATGTTGTCCCCGACCATGAGTATGATTTATGCGCTTCAGGCCAACACAACACGTGTTACATGACACGGTCCAAGCGTGTTTGCCTCGAGTTTTGTGTATGGGATTACCTCTTTTTTTGTATGATTCTAGATTTCTTCGCTTCAGTTTAGTTCGAAACTCCCTTATTACTTAGAAACAAAAAGAACACACCAAAATTGCATAAAAATGAAATAAAACAAGGAAGGAAAGCATAACAAATACTACTAAAAACATACAATAAGAAATATATATACAACTTATCATTTATTCGTGTTCTGCATTTTTTTGGTTTTTTCCCTAGTACGAAAGTTAACATCTGAATTTTCTTGTTCTGCATTATTTGTTTGATTTTTCATGTTCCGTCATCTGGGTTTAAATTATTTGATCATGATATGCTTTTATGGGTTAATTATAGGTAAAATTTCTGACAACAAAAAAAGATTGAGATATAGTAAAGTGACTCATCAGGCTTTCAACCAAAGGGAAAAAGTTAAACCCTCTCGTCCACACTTTAATGCCGCTTCATTTGATGCAGGAGCATCATCTTCTGAAGTTCATGTATCTTCTCCATCGTCCTCTAGAGACATGAGTCCCCCCTGTTGCTTCCCTAGAAGTCTAACTCGTTGCTTTTGTTCCTGATGTTTTTCCAGGAGGCCCCTTAGACACCTCATTAATGTGTATGTATGCAAATTATGTTCCTAGACACGTGTGGAATGGATAGGTAAAATAAATATTTATTTATTATTTTAAACATGTGTGATATAAGATTTGAACTTTTCGACGTTTATGTATTTTTTTACAACACCATGAGTCGCTAAAATGTATTAACTACGTTAGGAAGATAGTGAAGATGTTGTTGCATGATGAAGCATGGTTTCGGGATGTCATGCACCTATTTGTACTGCAATATTTATACAAGATTGAATATACTTATATTAACCACGGTTTGTTGTCTACTTTTGTCGAGAGATGACACTTAAAGGTTTCTTCATTTTATCTTCTGATTGGTGAGATGTCCGTCACACTTGATGATGTGTCATCTCTCCTACATCTTCTGATCAGGGAAAGATTATTAAACTACTCCAGAATCACTAGACTCGAGACACTGGAGATGATGGTGCAATATTTGGGAGTTGATCCAAATGATGCCCAATAGAAGATAAATGACACTAGAGGGTGTCATGCTAAATTTAGATTTTTGAAGAGGTTGTACATATACCACATAGATGTGGCAATTGAGGCCAATGGTGATGATGCACAAGTAACACATCATAAAGTATCTGTATTGAGGTCATACCTCTTGTATCTGGTTGACACGTCCAAATTTGTGGACAAAAATGCATATTATGTTGATGTCGACTACATGAGATATTTTATTGACTTGGAGAGGATTTATGAGTACAACTGATAAGTCTCTTGTTTGATTTACCTCTACTACAAGTTAGGTTAAGCTTGTTTATGGAAGACTAGATAGATGACATCAAGGAACACTCTATTTACGATAATATATTTACATCTTTACTGTTACTAATATTTCATAACACTTATGCAATGTCGTTACTAATATTTTATGTGAATTATTTTCAAGCATGGATCCTCCATCATTTACCATGTCTCTCCGGCTGAGCATATGTTGATGACTACGATAAGGATTTGCCATATGCTTGCTTCTTCATCTCGCTCAGAGGGAATCAGACGTTCGAGCCATTTTGATACTTGAGCCACAACATGCCTTGCAATATAGAATGTATATGAGGAACTGTATGTCAGATATATCCGGTAGTTAACTTTTTCTTTGTATTTTTATATTTGTATTTTAGTTTGTATTTTGTAAATAATATATGATTTGTAGTTTGATTTAATATATATTTTGATTAAATTACATAAGCGCATAGTTTAAAAATGACACAAAAAATAAGATATATTAAAATGTGTCAAATTTATAATTAAAAAAAAAGTCAGATGGAAAAACTTATTGTTTTAAAGATTAATATGAAACTAAACTTTATTATATTCTAATTGTTGCGAAATAAACACATTATCATAGATACAAAATGTGCTCAAAGGTTGGTAAGTAATTTAACCCAAGGATTATCCATTTATAATTGTGAAATAAACACAATATGAGTTTAAAATGTATCAAATGTCGGTGCATAACTTAGGGTATGTTTAAATTGGTGGTGAACAAAATTGATTTTAGTAAAATTGAGTTGGGTAGAATTAATTTTAATAGAATTGAATTTAGCATAATTGATTTAATATTTTGATACATTTATGTAAAAGTGAGTTAAATAATAAATTTTAGTGTAAAAATCGCCGGAATCAATTTAAAAAGTAGAAGTTACACATTTTAACTTCATATATAATTAATTCTATTTTTTATAAAACAAGCCTCTCAAAATCATCAAAAATCAATTTTACACCTCTAAAATTAACTCCGAGTCTTCAAAAACCAATCCAAACATGCTATTAATTTACAAACTCACAATTCTATCAATATCAAGGTTAAGAAGTGTTTTGATGTGTATAAAAGATGTCTCAAAATTAACTTCCTTACTATTCCAATTGTATCTTTGGATTTTTTTAGGTTGAGCAAACCCTAAATTAATTGGTTTAACACCGGGTTACTCATTAGTCATAGGGATTCAACTCTCCAACAACCATCCCATCAGAAAATTGGGATCACCGCTGGTTACAGATCTCAAATGAGAAGAAATTTGGGAAGAGAATAAATTCTTGACATCAAATAACAGAGACTAGAATGAGAATCATCACCGCCACGTCACGCTCAAAATTCACAACTCCAGGTTTTGTTAACTCACTTAAACTCTCTGTGTTGAAAACTAGAAACTGGTTTATTTCTTCAACCGGTTATGAACCGGGTTTAACTGGTTTCGTTAAAATAAACCGGTTTAGTCAAAGTGGTTTTAAATAACCCCACCCCTTTCGAGTTGAAAACGTTTCAAGTTCATAGAGTGGAATTGAGTGGAATTGTGTATCAGTAAATCAATGGTGCATAATTCTGAGGAGAACCCTTACAATCACTCTATTTCCATTGAAAATTTAAACCGCTATAAGCATTTTCTCAATGGACTTAACACCCAAGTTAATCAGGTTACTCCTCTCTTTCATAATTCACTACTGTTTTTATTTTGTTTTTTTGCGATTACAGTTTATTTTCACCATTTTTGTATATTTTTAGTGTATTTAGAGTTATCAATCAATTTTTTTGTTCATTTGTAAAATTGTTGTGAGATTGAGAGTAGGACCAATTTAATGTTAATCAAGGTTTTAAATAATGCAATCGCGTAAAGGCTTTCGCGATTTTAGTTGGTACAGGTGTTGTATCAGTTAATGTCGCGGTGCGAATTAATCACAATTTGATTACTACATTCGAAAATTAGAGGAGTCATAATTTGTGATGTTTTTAAAATTATATTTGGCAAAGTTAAAAGTTTCGATCTTCAACCGATGCTCTCTCTTGATTGGCAGAAACCCTAATAGTTCTCTCATTAGGTTTATTTTGTTGATTTAGGTAAATAAACTTGCTGCTATGCATTGGTGTGAATGTGGTGTTTGTAAGATTGAATTTTGAACTTTATGTATGTCATGTGTTGTGTGCAGCTTGAGAAGCAAGTAAAGGAGGTTGAACAGTTTTACCAATCCACTGATGTTCAAAGCAATGATTGCAAAAACAAAGGCAGGGAGAAGCCTCCTATTGGATCTAAGAAGTCATTGCAACGTGCTTCAGAAGAAATGCAAGAGGATGTCATGCGGCATTTCTCCAAAATTTTGAGTGAGGCAAGTGCAAGTATTTTTGTTGAATTTTATTATTAGAGTGAAAACCAAAACTCGTCGAAATGGCATGGGGGCAAAAGTACCTTAAACCATTATTATATTTATTAGTGTTTCACATGTATATAGTTGTTGGATTAAGGTGGATTCATGTGTCTACAGGCACAAATTTGGTAGACACTCACTTTCATCAAAATGTTTTCTGCCATGTCTCTTCCTTTCATTTGAATTCTTGAACCGATTCATTCTGTAAGTTTTAATTCGCTTACAGGATTAAACTCGAAAAAATCCTAGGACATATTGTGCAAAAGATTTTGAGAAAAATGTGTTCATGCTTGAAAATTAAACGTTTAAATGTGGGGTAATTTGATAGAAACTTCAAGAGTAAAGTGCAGAATTGCTTGAATAATAAAGTAAATGAAAGGAAATCATAAACGAAATCAAGTAAAATGCTTAAGTGAAAAGGTGGGACACTGATTCATATATTTTCTCACAAATTCACTATCTCTGTAACTTGGATGTTTGAATTCTATAGATACTAATAATAAAAATTGCGAACCCTTTTTACAGAGATTAAATTAACTTATATACAAATACATCAGTAACTGTTGACAATGGCTAATTTCCTAGAAACCAACAAGTACAGTGTTACGTGACCTTCTGTCCTCTACATTGCTTCCACGTGTCTTCAGTCTTTGAACTGCTGCACAACGAACATCTCCAGGTCTCCTAACTGCCTTTGTCGAATTCCATGTCTTTCAACTGCTTCTGTCGAGAATCCTTCCTGTCGAACCTTGTAATCTTGGTGTCGAATCATGCTTCAGTTACTAGTGCTTAGCCTGTGTATTTATCTCACACCCTTTTCCGGTCAAATATACAAAATCACTACAAACTTTTTTGAGATTCTGAACATGTTTTGAAGAGAGAGTGATCATAATCTTGTGGATCTGTTTTTGAGATTCTTCCAAACTAGGCATAGTGAGTTTTGGTACAATCTGTCGAATGTCGAAAATCATAGACTAACACAATCATAAGTAATTTTGTCTTGAACTAAACTTTTAAATGGTAGTGATTACTTCTGTTAACATTTTCTCAGATTAAATTTATTAAAACTTGCTAAACCTCAATAGTGATTCATTTTTTGTTTTCTCAGATAACTCAGCACAAATGGGCATGGCCCTTTTTGGAACCTGTAGATGTTGAAGGTCTCGGGCTGGATGATTATTTTGAGGTATTTTTTTCTTCAATTTAAAGCTTTTCTATTGACTTAGACTATACTTGTCTTAATTACATGAATGACATTTGAAACTTGTACACTTTTGAAAATTGGTTTAGATATTTGCTCGGTCAGTGCTTCTAGTACTAGTGGCCCTCTTAAGCTTGTTATCTATCTATTTTATAACAATTTGTTTGTTTTTCTTCCCTTAGATCATAGAGAAGCCTATGGATTTTAGCACTATAAAAAGAAAAATGGATGTTAAAGATGGCTCTGGTTATAAGAATGTGAGTGAGATATATGCTGATGTAAGGCTGATTTTTAATAATGCAATGAAATACAATGATGAAAAGAGTGATATCCATGTGATGGCCAAGACCTTGCTGGACAAATTTGAGAAGAAATGGCAGCATCTTTATCCTAAAGTTGCTAAGGCTGTAAGTTTGTTTTTTTCCAAAATAATTTCCTTTCTTTCAGATGAATGACACTTTCTTTTAGAAATAACAGTGATCTCAGCCATCCTAGATACGTTATCTTTCTTTACTTGATTATTTCAGGAGAGTGAACTGTCAAAAGAAGAAGCACGTGAGAATTTGACTAAAAAGCTTGCTCAAGAAACTGCTTATGCCAACATGACTAGGAAATTAAACGCTGAGGTTGGTTCGTTAATTTTTTTACAGAGTTGTGTATGAGATTGAATGATGTATGATAAAAAAGTATTTCAGATGGCTAATTTGCACTTTTAATTTCTTTTGTTCCAGCTTTCTAAGGCAGATATGACTTTGACGAATCTCAAAACTACAATGATTGCAAAATGCAGGTTTGTGAAAGAGTCGCCTGGTATTCTTTTTGTGTTTAGTCTCGCTGTAAACTGATTCTTTTCTAGAACACCTTTATGGTAGGAGTTTTATGAATTTAGATTTCTTCCATTCACACAATCATGGTGCTGTCTGAATAGTCCAGTCAAGATCAGTCGGTCCATAAGTCAACTTTATATTTTAATCCCAATATGTTTTGGAATTATGTTGCTTACTGTGCATTGTTTGATTGTTGACAATACTTTAGGAAACTGTCACCTCGGGAGAAACTGTTACTTGCGGCTGAAATCACCAAATTGTCTCCTGATAACCTCCACAACGCGTTAGAGATACTTAATGAGAATAATCCAAATTTCCAATATAGTGCTGACAATGTGACTACCGAAGATGTGACCCTCGACCTTGACTATCAGGTCTGTCATGTTATTATCTATTGATACTAATGTTGTTTGCTTTCATTCATTTTCTAAATTTGTCTGTAAGTTTTTAATTTTGTTTAGCAAGTACTATTTAGCTACTCACTAATTTTAGTATCATTAAAATACACAGAGCGACTACAATGCGTGGAGATTGTATATGTTTGTCAAAAATGCGCTAGAACTTCAAGATGCAACAAGTGCGGTTACTCATGATGTCAACATTGAGGAAAAGGAGCCAGATGCCAAAAGGAGAAGAATGGTGTGATTCTTTTACCAAAGTCATGTAATAAGAACAAAATAAAAAAAAAATATCTATGATGTGGTTCAATTAAGCAACAAATAAGGTAGTTTTCTTGATGCTAAACAAAATTTAGTTTGGACACAAGGGTAGGTTTTCTGAATCTTTTATAGGAAGCTCAACGGTAGAGCATGAAAACACCAAAAATAAGCTCTCCTTGTTTGACAATTTTTTGAAACATATTGAACTAAGCTCTCCATGTTTGACAATTTTTTGGAACATATTGAACTGCAATCTTAAGTATTCAGTATACTTTTTAAGGTAATTTTATGCATGTATTAATAGATTAATAATGCCATATCTTTTTGGCTCTTATGGGCAGAGTTGTGAGTTCCCATGTGTCACTGCCTTTCTCCAAATCTCATGTTTAGAAGCCTCTTCATAGGTAGTTGGATCTTCACTAGGACTTAAAGTTGTCAAGTTTTGATGAGCTATTGTGTCATTGATTTCATGTGTGACATAATACCATGTACATCACGAAACTCATTAAAAGAAGTAGAAGCATATTTTCACCTCCTCTATTAGTTCTCAAATAGAATTTCACAAATTGATTCCTATTTAAATAAGAACTTTAAACTTTTGAAATACTTCAGATGCTTCTAACTTTTTACTTAGAAAATAAATCAATGTTATTATGCTTCTAACTTTTTACTTAGAAAATAAATCAATGTTATTTTACTAAAATCATTTATGAAGGTGAGTACTTTTTTCTTCCATTGGACTCATGATTAACAGGACCCCATATGTCTGAGTTACAATCTGTTTGTTGCCCTCCAAGAACTCTTGTAGGGAATCGCCTCTCTATGTTTCTTTCCCTTCGTGTAGTCAGTGCATCTGAAGTCATGCTTTTTCAAACTGAGAAGACCTTTAACCATTTTTGTGTGCAAATGTGCTCAAACCTTTGAAACTCAAATGGTCATATCTATAATGCAAGTGTAAGGAGTGGAGCAAAGATTACAATATGCGATTAGAAGAAATTTGAGTTGACATTATCAAGATATTTTATTCATGAAACGCCTTACAAGACTCATTCTTGAAGATGATTGTGTTTCCTTTCTATTGAAGTTGACCTATACTTAGCAAATTATTCCTCGAAATAGGTAGAAAGTGTTGTGAATCAGATACCTTTAAACAAAGTATAAACGGTTTCTTTCTTATCAAGAAACACGTAAGAGTTAGGGTTAATAAAGAAGACAAGGTAAAACAACAAGGAACAACAAGGATTGGTTATTAAATTGCTATTCTTTCCTTTCTCTTAGAACAAGATTACAAGTATACAAGAATAACAAAATAAGCTCTCTCCCTTGAAATTAGGATTTTATCTTCCTATTTTTTCTTATGTCAAGATTGAGAAACTAACATCCTATTTATAATAAAATAGCACACTAACCTAATGGGCTTTTTAACAATTACCCATTACAAGCTAACTTAGGGTACAAGCTAACTTAAACAATTGGGCTTACAAGCAAGACCCAATTCAACATGCTAACAACCCTAGCAATATTGACTAATGCATGTTAGAACAAACTTCGACTACAACACACATTACTCGCGAACAGACTTCGACTATACTAGAGTTTGATCCAACATCTCACAAATCTCCATCTTGGATCTAACTCTATAACATCAAGAAACTAGCTTTCTTCATGCAGCTTTATTAACTGCATACAGTGGAAAAACTTGCAATTGGGCAATGTCTTGGTGATCATATCAGCGGCATTATGATATGTCGAAACCTTCAGCACTTGGACTTCTCCACGCTCGATTACCCCTTTGATGAAATGCAGTCTCACATCAATGTGCTTGGTTCGCTCATGATAGGCTAAATTCTTCGACAGGTGTATTGCACTTTGACTATCACATTTAACAGTGATAACTCGACCTTGAAGTTTTAGCTCCTTTGCAAAACCTTCAAGCCACAATGCTTCCTTCACAGCTTCAGTTAGGGCAATATACTCCGCTTCAGTGGTTGATAAGGCAACGACCTTCTGAAGTGTTGTTTTCCAACTGATTGTTGTCCCAAACATAGTGAACACATATCCAGAGATAGATTTTTTGGAATCCATACAACCTGCATAATCAGAGTCGACATATCCTTCGATTGCTGCTTTACTATCTTCACCCAAGGCTCCACCATAAATTAGGACTCTATTTAGAGACCCATTTATGTACCTTAAAATCCACTTACAGCTGACTAACCTGGCTCCAGCAGGTTTCTTGATCAGTTCCCAGGTGTTGTTATCATGAAGAGATTTCATCTCATCATTCATGGTCTTCAGCCATTCAGTCTTCTTTCGACTCCTCATAACTTCCTTATAGTCTCTAGGTTCTTCATCTAGAACCTCACTAGCATAGATTAAGGCATAAGCTATAAGATCTGCATACCCAAGTCTCTGAGGTGGCTTGATGACTCTCCTCGACCTGTCTCTTGCTAGCAGGTAGTCATTATCAGTCTCCTCATCTTCGACAGCATCTTTTGCGTCTTCTTCGACTTCATCTGGGGTACGCAATTCAGCATCAACATGCTCCACCTCAACAGGAATTTCTCCCTGTTCCAGCTCTTCGTCAGCATCATTAGTTTTCTTGAAATTCATCTCTGCTTCATTGAAAACTACATCTCGACTGATGATACACCTCCTGTGACCTGGCTCTAGGTACCATAACCTATAAGCTTTGACTCCTTCAGGGTATCCCATGAACATGCATTTCAGAGCTCTAGGTTCGACCTTGTCTTGCCTAATATGAGCATAGGCCACACAACCAAATACTCTCAGTTTGTCGAGACTAGGTGGATGTCCTGACCAAACTTCTTCAGGTGTCTTCATTCCCAAGGCAGTCGAGGGACATCTATTTATCAGGTAAGCTGCTGTCGAAACAGCTTCCGCCCAAAACACCTTCTTCAATCCAGCACTAACCAACATGCATCTAACCCTTTCAAGCAGTGTTTTAAAAACCGGACCGGTCATCGAACCGGTGAGGATATTGGGTCACTAGTTTATCGGTCGAACCACTGGGTCACTAGTCGAACCGCATGACTAAACCGGATTAAACCGGATAACTCGATTGAATAGACCTGTCATTATATAGATATAAAACCGGTCGAACCGGATGATTCAGTTTCTAAAAAAATATAACTAGTACTTAAATTTTTTGAAAATATCATATCATAAATTCACAAGTTCATAATTTAAATTTAAATTTTAAACAAATGTATCACACATAACAAAATAATACAAAATTACAATAATCTAATTGCAACATAATATAATTGAATAATTTATAACAAAATAACTCCAATGTCTACTTAAGTTTAGTTCTAAGGAGGTAAAATTATTTCAATATTGCGATCTCCTTCTTCAATATCAAAATTTGCATTTAAATTTTAATTAAAAAATAAAAAATGCATTAGAACCGGTCCAACCCTAAATCCGGTTTTTCCCGGTCCAACCCGGTTTTCCCCGGTTTTTGCCGGTTTGATGACAAAGACGATCGAACTAGTAAACCAGGCCGGTTCCCGATCCGACCGGCCGGTCCGATCCGGTTTTTAAAACACTGCTTTCAAGGATTGTTCGATTGAATCTCTCAGCTAAGCCATTTTGTTGAGGAGTACCTGCTACAGTCTTATGCCTTGCAATCCCAGACTCAACACAGTAACTGTTGAACGCTTAGTTGCAGAATTCAAGGCCATTGTCGGTTCTCAACCTCTTAACCTTTCTGCCAGTTTGAGTTTCGACCAGAATCTTCCAACTTTTGAAATTCTCAAAAGTTTCATCCTTCGTCTTCTGAATGAATACCCATAGCTTTCTGGAATAGTCATCAACGATGGATAGAAAATACCTTGCACCTGAGTGTGAGGGATTCCTTGCAGGCCCCCAAAGATCAGCATGAATGTAATCCCGGGATCCATGTGTTCTTTACTTGCCTTTGTTAAACTTCGCCCTACAGGATTTACCAAATACACAAGATTCACAAAATTCCAACTTTTCGACTTTGTCACCTCCTAGCAGGTTCTGCTTCCCCAATTCGACCAGGCTTCTTTTGCTGACACGACCCAATCTCATGTGCCATAATTCTGTCTTCGACATAGATTTCGTGGATGCAACATTTGTCGAACCACTTACAACCTCAGCATCAAGGGTATACAAGCCTTGTTTCTTCATGCCTCTCAAGACTTCCTTCGACCCCTTCATGACTCTTAGGATACTTTTCTCTCCTTGAAAAATGTATCCTTTTCTGTCGAATTCACCAAGAGAAATCAAATTTCTCTTCAAGTCAGGTACGTACCTGACTTCAGTCAATAACCTTATTGACTCATCATGGAGCTTGAATCTCACAGATCCAATATCTGCAATTTTGCAAGATTTGTTGTTTCCCAGCAACACAGATCCACCATCTTGATCACATAGCTCCTCGAACAAATCTCTGTTTGGAGTCATGTGCCAAGTGCAACCTGAATCCATAATCCACCCTTTCCTCGAGTCGCCACTTGAAACCACAAGAACATCAGATGAGTCGAAGTCATCTTGAACAATGGCTGCATTGCCATTACCTCCATGATCTTTCAGGCGTTCAGGGCACACCTTTCTTATGCGACCCTCCTTCTTACAGTGATAACATCGAATACTAGATGTTTTGCCACTATAAGACTTCTGTTGACTTTTACCTTTCTTCTTGTCGAACTTACCATCCTTTTGCAAGAATTTTCCCTTAACGGTCAAACCTTCGCCCACCGTTGAAGGTTTATGCTCCTTTCGTTCGTTCAAGTCCTTAGAATACAAGGCTGATTGAACTTCTTTAAAGGTCAGGGAATCCCTTCCATACAAGAGAGTTTCTTTGAAGTGAGCATGTGTTCTGGGCAAAGCACACAGCAGCAACAGTGCTTGATCTTCATCATCGATCTTCACATCAATATTTTCAAGATCAAGAATCAGCTTGTTGAACATATCCAACTGCTCAGCCAACACTTT